AACCTGACCTGACCTTGAGAGATCGCGGGTTATTTGCACTCCTCTGAATTTCTCGATTATGGCTTCCGAGGATTCTACCGAAGACTTTGTAGTTGTTAACGAAAAAGATAACGCAGAACGAGAAGCACTGACTAGGCTGCAAACAGCAGCGGATGTGCTCGGTAAAGCTCTCGGTAAGTTTGCTCTGTTAATTTGATTTTGCAGACGCTGTGAACGAATCAAGTTTTTTGCTCAGGGAGCAACTGCAGTCTGCGTTAAGTGTTACATTACAGTATATCCCCAATGAAACAACTATAAGTACAGAAGAGATAGTAAAATCGTTGGACCAGAATGTAGGTCGTCATTTTTTTCCCCCAGCGGTACAGGTAGCGAGTACGGAGGAGATTCGAGCGAAATATGTACGCAATCTGTGCTCCAAGTTGGTGAGCGCCAGTACGGAAACTGCGAAACTGCGGGCGGAAGTTGAAGCTCTCAAACTTTCCGCCGATAAAAATGATAAAGAGATGAAGGCAAGTTTATAGAATATCTGATGATAGTGCGCATTAACTCGGGATTTTCCTTTTTGTATAGCTCACGCGCGGCAGTTTGCCACGAAACTTTATCAGCTTTCTGCATATGCCTTCCTAATCAAAGAACTTCTGAAGAACAATCATAAACCTATTAATTCAACTTTTCTGATTTTGGAGGGGTTTTCTTGCCATGGGGATTTGTCCAAGATAGTTCTTAATGCCTGCCGAAGGTTATGGTGCGGCTTAAGTAGGTCTTTTATAGCTAGCTTTTATAGCATCCCAGTTAGTGTCGAACTAGTTACTTATATCTCATCTCTCTGAATTATGTCTATTAAATGTCGGCATACCTATCATTATTACAAAAATACGGGCCCGCGATTCACCTAAGCAGAATACTATCCGATCGAAATCTAGCCTAATTTCCGTGCAGATCCCCAACCTTTCTCTTCTGATATCGTCATCAAAACAATGCAGCGGAGTACGGTGAAGTTAAATTTACTGACCACCTCCAAGCACACGATGCAGAGGTAAGTGCGAATATGCAAGACTGACCGGGATCAGACTTGTTTCAAAGAAGAGAGAGGAAAGGAAACCTCGATCAACTTATGGAGTATATTGTATACTTGCACTTCACGCATTCGAGGACAGAATGTGTGCCAAACGAATCATGGTACAATAATCTTCATGAGAAGAAAAGGTTCTATGATTTGCATGTGGTCGGAATACTGCGAGGTTGCCCAAGCGAGGGTAGGTGAGATTCCCCGGGGAATTTACAACCAGAGCCTTCGGCTAATCAAAGCGTGACCTATAAGGCAGCGGGGTGGCGCGTGAAAACCGACATCCATTTTGGGGCCGATGTCCAGTTCATCGGGTAGGGCTTTACGTGCGAAGTGCCCAATGTACCCCCCCCCATATCCAACTGAGTCGGTGGCCATTGCCACAACCAGGAAGGTTTGTGTGTGTGGTTCGTGCGCCTCTTGGTGGGTTTGGAATCATGGGTTTTTTCTAACTCCCCCAAGTGAACTGTCATTTGTCAACCGACCCGATTGTAGCCCCGAGTGTCACTTTCGCCTTCTCACTTGGTGAAAAAATACCGTTACTTGGGGTCAATCTGGACATAATCTTGACACATGATTGAGACTCGATGAACAGGATAACGAGGAAACTTATTAAAATGCAAGTTTCATCAAAAACACTATTAGGAAATAAGTTTAACTTTCAATGTGAATCCTGCACGATGTAAAAGCGTACATATGTGCCAAAGTGTGTATCACAAGCCAACATAGACAAGATAATAAGATAATAGGATACGATTCATGGTGAGGTTCGTACCAGCACCACTTGCTCAGAGGGGCGCTTAGTTCAGGTTATGGGAAATATATAGCAAACACCCATATCTAACATTTGTCTGAAACTTTTCATCCGGAATAACTTATCCACGACACCGCGATCGATGGTAATAATGAATAAAGATTTAAAGGTGTTCCCTTTGAAAGTAGCCCGTCGCGCATAAGTTTTCCAGCTGATGGTCACCTCAATCAACCGATTATTTTCATGAATCGTACAGCGGAGTTGCTTTTCTCCATCTCTGATGATTACACTGCTTTGCTTGCTCATGATCTGCCAAGGAGATGGAATCAGTAGCTAGGTGTAAAAATATGCGACTCATCCGTGCTACGGACCCCCAAAACAGTGCGTTAGTGAAACAATTTGCGAGTTAGGCGTAACGCTAATATGCAATCTTCAGCGACGCTTGGAACGCTGGGAAGAGCACTTCGTATTGCAGTTCAACCACCCCTTCCTTGCTGGCTCCCCCCTGTAGTTCTCTTCGGAGTGCGTTCTAGTCACTATTCACGGAATCGCCCACAGAAACGGAGGTCCGAAAGGAACTCCCAGCCGTGAACCGCCATAAGGCAACTGGATCAGACGCCTTGCAACCGGCTCTCTTTAAGGATAGGGGAGAAGCTCTCGTGAGACAGCTTGTCAGACTTCTCGAAGATCTGGGAAGTCGAAAGTGTACCCCACTCACGGAGAGAATCGTTTGTTACACTCATGTACAAGGGCTATCGTACCGCCTGTTCCAACCACAGGGGCATAAGTCTGATTCCAGTAGCGCTGAAGCTACTAGCGTCCGTTTTATTACGCGGACTAAGCCCATTTCGCGAAAGGCAAGTCCACAAGGAGCAGACCCAGTTTCGTGCACACTGGCTGCATAGATCAAATCTTCACCAGCTATTAGAACACCGCCACACATACAGAAGACAAACCGTCGTAGCGTTTTTGGACATCAGAGCGGCCCTCCACTCCATCGATCGCCTCGCACTCTGGAATTGTTTACGAAGATACGGAATACCCGAGAAGTATTTTCTACTTTTAGAAGCACTAATATATATATATATATATATATATAGCTCCTTATTTTTGCTTTATTGTCTGCACGCTGTTAATCCTGATCCCGGACGTTATTTAATGACTGGAAATGTGTGGCGTGTTAGTGAAAAATCAACTTGTTTGCTGTTCATTTCAGGAGAGTCTTATGGATTTGTCATCAGCCGTTCAAAGTCTACAAACAGTAACCGAGCAGTTAGAGTTATCTTCACGGTATGTGAAAATTGTTGTTTTCTATTTGTTTTGTATACGGTCAAGGTAATCTTTGAAGATGGCAAAGTTCATTGGATTTGATGCACTGCCTATTTCACCTTGTAAATGATACCCTGATTTGATACAACACTATGCACTATGTACTACCACTACTACATACTATGTGCTGGTTAGTATGTCTATGCTGTTAGTCAGCTAATTTTTAGGTTACGACTGCTATGACAAAACATCATTACATCCAACTATTGATGCGCTAGGAATTGGTTTGCTTTACTGGTAGTCATCAAACGGCTCGAGTCTGCTTCTGGTATGATTCGGTCATCAGGTTCCAAGTTTCCAACCCTAACTGCCAACTAACTGTGATATTAAAGTTTTCCTCTCGTCGGATTCCATTCTATTCTATTGTTATGTTTTCAGCTGCTGGTTGTCATGACTAAATATTAGGATGTCCGGGAATATAATGTGTGGTAATTTAACTTAGTACTTTTCGACTACGGTCAGCTAATTACTGACCGTTGGTTTTCAACTAAATGTTGGCCGTCATGCCCACGAATTCTGAGAACAAGCCCCCTAACCCAAACAGCGCACCGTACCTCCTTATTATAAAACAAACTTAACTTTGCTCCCTAATCGGCCTTCATACAGCTTCTCCACCTCTCGCCCTAATACCGGGCTTATGCCACTGATTCGTCACGCGCAACTATTTTACGGAAAAATTGGTTTTCGTGAATGTGGCATAAGGCTTCTTCTGTTCCGTAAGCCAAGGTGCGCGGTAAGGAAAAATCATTCTGACGCAGGTTTTTACTTTGGTTTATAGCAGCAATCCTTAGGGAGACGATCGTGTTCATTGAAAACTTTATTTATAGTTGATCCGATTTTCTGAGAAAATTTTTATATTTCGCACTACACTGAATCTTATTTAATGAAATTCAACGGAAGTGCACTTTATTTTCATGTTTGATCATTTATACGGACGCTCATTCAGTGGTGGTAACAATCCTGCTTTGCCAAACACACCGGAAACCTTTCAAGACGCCGTCGCCGAACCAGCCAGCGTTCGTTCGTTATGTGCTGATATCACATCTGTTCGTGACCGCCTGGCTCAGTTAAAAGTGAATAATCAGCCTCAACCGGGTGAGTGCATGCATGGTTTGTATATCGTGTGCTCTTATGCTAATTCATACGTGATAATCATTATTCATAATTTATAGGCTTTTGTTTATTACACACCTTAGTGTAATGAACAGCAGACGGGACAAATCCCATAGTCACGAGGAACTGCTGTTCAATGATGGAAACCGGTAACCTAAGCCCCGGGACTTGGAGTGGCGAACCACATCAGGTTTAGGCTTATTGTAAAAACAATGAATATAGCTCCTTTATACGAACTGTGATATTCATTATTAAGTATTCGATCTTGGCCTTTCAATTCGACCCGTCTGACGTTTTGGTCGTGTTCTTTCTTTTGTTAAGGTTTGTTAAGGTCACATGTGTTTAGCAATGGCTAATTGATGAAATTTTCGAAACTGTGTCAAGTACTAGGTTGTGTGAAATATTTTCGGGATGTGCTCGATTCGCAGTCACATGTGTGAGTAACAAATACTATGTCAAATCAGCTTTTTTCGGTTTAACGCATTGAATAACCTCGGGGTGGAGGTGACCAGTCCCCACCGGCCAGGACCAAGGACCAACGTCCACTTAAGAAAGGTCTCAAAAGACTCGCGAAAACTGGCGAGCAGGTGAAATAGAAGTGGCCTCTGCGTCAGGGAATAATAAAAGACTGCATCAGCTGCTACGCACCCTCCGAGGTTAGTGAAGCAACCCACCAAAGAAATGGCCAAGTTGTTCGCATAAAGTATTAGCTACTCTATCTGTACCGGACTGTCGTCCAGTGGTTGAGTGACTCGTAGATACGAACCCCAAGCCCGATTCCAGATAATGAGAAGTCGGTAATCTACGTGTACTATAAGCAGACATATGTACAAAACCAAACACCATACCTCAAATTGTGGGCCAATCCGGTCTCCACGGTACAAGAACGAAATACGATGCAGGTCAAGGCGCAGAACAAAGCACCTGCGGAGCAGTCACCAAAAGGAATGCAAACTCGGCTTAGAAAAGGGACGATTTAAGGGATAGAAACACCAATCGCAAGTGATCGATAAAGAAACGCAGTCAATGGTCAATGCAAGACACACAAGCGGTTCACGGGATCCTATAGCACAAAGCAGTCCGCTAAGCAAGTGAAGCGAATGATCGAATATGAAGGTCAACATAAAGAGGATGGGATGACAATGTACTAGAACGAAAACGTGGGTGGGGGAATGGATCCGGGGTAGTTTGTATGTAATGACGCCCCAGAATGGCAAGCGTGCAAAAGAGAGTGTTCAAGGGCGGTAAGGGTAGAGGAC